CTTTGGCCGTCTGTCTCAAATTCTGATGCTGTTAATTCTCAGCAGCGTGCTGGAGCCTGCACTCTGGGTCCCAGTTCTGCTGTGTTACTAATGTATATTTATGTAGGTTTTTGGCCCTTTCTGTTACACACTCCTGTATTCAGACCAGGCTAAATTGAAATTTAATTGAAAACTGTAGAAACTGTATGGATTTCAAATGTAGTCCCAGGCCAAGGCCAAAGAAAAGGATACTTTAGTCTTTGCCGGAGAGTTTTGATAGAGCTCATCAGTGTTCTTTTTCCTTTAAGGTGCCCTTCGGATTAAGGGATGCGGTTCAGACATAGTTTCGGTGGCTTCTCATTGTCCTCCGAGTGAAAGCTGGCGTCCCCTCAGCCCGCATCTGCTCTTTTTGTCCCTTGGCCCTTCCTTTCAGTTAGCATCTCTGCTGATCTTCAGAAGTCTGTGTGAAGCAAGCTTCCATGTGCTTTTCACTTGGCTGATTAGTGTGGGTGTTCTCTTGGTGCCAAATGCTGCCCCACCCCCCACTTGTCAGGTTCCTTTTCTGGTCCCAACTGAGCTCCCCAGACCAGCTCCCTACAAGTTGTGTCGGGAGGACGCTCAGTGCCAAGAACACACTTGGATTAGTAACAGAAGCTACTGCTATGGCTCACGCAGAACCATTCTTTTGAGTTAAACAAAACTGATTGTCTTGTTTCTTGTTCATTGGAAGGTTTTGTAGGCTTGTGGGGGGTAGATCTGTTGTAGAATACTTGCCTGACATGTGTGAGACCAGACTCGGAATTCCTTTATGATTGAGATAATGCTCTATTCTTTTTCTTTTTTTTTTTTTTTTTTTTTTTACTTATTATATATGAAGTGTTCTGCCTTCATGTATACCTGCACGCCAGAAGAGAGCACCAGATCTCATTGTGGACAGTTGTGAGCCACCATGTGGTTGCTGGGAATTGAACTCAGGACCTCTGGAAGAGCTGCTAGTGCTCTTAACCTCTGAGTCATCTCTCCAGCCCTAATACTGTATTCTTAAATGTAATAGATCCTCAGTTCCCTGTTCCTCACAGGCTGAGGGAGGTTTGTTTGTTTTTTTTTGGGTTGTTTGCTTGTTTGGTTTTGGTAATGGATTTTATTTTATTTAAAAAAGGAAATTAAGATTGGGAAACTTAAGAATAGTTGGTTTTACTGATTAAATACTGTAACAAAAGTGTTTTAAGTAACTTCTCCACACTGTCAATCTGTGAGTCTGTTCCAGCTTCCTGTCTATGTGAACACTGGCTGTAAAGAGGGGAGGGTTACCCAAGCGCCTGCGTCTCCTTTTAAAATAGGTTTATTTTTATTTTGTATAGAGGAGTTTTACCTGCATGTGCACTGTGTGTCTGTGCACTGCCAGCGGCCTGAAGAGGGCACCAAAGTCCCTGGCTCTGGAGCTCCCCGTACCTGTTCGCTGTTATGTGGATGCTGGGAATTGAAGCCAGGTCCTGCAATGGAGGACCTCTGGAAGAGCAGCCAGCATTCTTAACCACGAGTTGCTCTCCAGCCCCTACTTTGTTGTTTGTTTGTTATGATTTACTTCCCACGTATGTGTCTGTGAGAGAGTGTGACCAGAAGTGGACAGCAGATTTCCTGGAGCTGCAGGGACAGGTGGTGTGAGCCAGCAGCCTAACTCAGGCTGTTGGCAGTAGCGGCATCTGCTCTGAGCTGCTGAGCCCTCTCTGTAGCCACCTTTGTCTGTTTCATAAAACTTCTCTGCTTCTGGAGACAGGCTGACTGTAGCGCCCAGGCTGGCCTCAGACGTGAAATCCTCTTCTGCTCATCACAGGCATGGCATGCTCTCCCTGGACCACGTCATCATCACTGTCCACGTTGTCTCCATGTCCACATGGCCGTGGCTCTGGAGCCTAGTTAAAGAATCTTTGCAACAGAGCCCAGAGGGTGAAAGTATTATTACTTTATCATTTACATAATACTCTTGTTAATCCATCAGCCTCTTCCATCGTTTTGCTCTGTTTAAATGAGTATTTTTAGTTTACTTTTGGCAAATGTATACATGTATACATTGGTCATAGCCATCCCCACAGACACACACTTCTTTCTCCCCCTCATTCCCAGAAATTTCCAATATGCCCCCCACTTTTCTGCCCCCCTTCTGTCCCTCCCTCCCCTTCTCTCTCTCTGATAACAGAGCCCAGGTGGTGCTGCCTGCTGGGCTGTTGGCTGTCCTTACTGCTTGCTCCTGTGTGGGTACCATGCTTTGGGTTCGTGTGCAGAAGAGAGTGCATCACAGCGTCCTCACCTCCTCTGACTCTCACACTCTCTGTGCCTCCTCTTCCTCCGTGTCTGAGCATTGGGTGGAGCCTTTGGGCTTGATGTGATGTCCCAGCAGGGCTGAGTGTGCAAGCTGTCGCTCGGCACTTCATTAACTGCTGTGCGCTGCACAAAGGTCCTTGAGAAGACTGAGACATGTGAGTGTGTGCGTGCGTGCGTGCGTGTGTGTACCTGTGTGTGTGTGTTAAGTCATGGTTTCTCTCTGTTGCCTTGGCTGTTGTCTTTGTAGACCAGGCTAGCCTTGAACTCCCAGAGATCCGCCTGCCTCTGCCTCCGAGTGCTGGACTCAAACAGTCACGTGCCTCTGCTCCCGGCACATTTCTAAGCTGTGCTGTACTTAGTATTTAGAAGGCAGCTTGGCAGTGTGTTCATTTAGCAAACAATAGTAGCTTCTCCCTTAGAACTTCACCTCCTGGTCTGGAGAACCTTGATTTGTTTTTCTATTTTGTTGTTGTTGTTTTTAACTTTAAATCTGTCCAAACTGACACATTGGTCTAGTTCACTGTGCCTGGCTGTGTAGGATTCCAAGTCCATGGGTGTTCTGAACTTGGTTTACCCCATCCATAGTGCTAGGAGGTGGGGGGAAGGATATTTCATTTCTTTACTTTTTTTTTTTTTTTTTTTTTTTTGAGATAGGTTTTCACCTTGTAGCCCTAGCTGGCCTGGAAACTCACTGTGTAGATCAGGCTGGCCTCAAACGCAGAGATCCTTCTGATTTCTACCTCCCTAGTGCTGGAATTAAAGGTGAGTGGCAGCCATGCCACCCCTTACAAATTAACTTCCAGTATTCTCACAGCCTGTCCTGGACATGTGTATTAATAGCATTTTCCTAGGGTTACAGGGAACTTTTCTCCTTTTCAGACATGAGCGTTCCTGTTAGCTTGGGATATCTCTTAAGCATCTTTTATTTTCCTCAATGAAAAATTAGTATCAGTGCAGCCTTTGCATCAAAATTAGTACAGGGCTTTCTTGCCGTAATAGCAGATAAACCTTTACCTTCACTGGACTGTCTTGGCACAACAGTTCTAAAGACAAGAATTAAAGAGTGGGATTGTTCTTTGGAATGGCTAGAGCACAGTTTAGAAGTGCGTGTGCTTTTTATGTTCTTGTCTCTTGTTACTTACATTAAGGGATCTTTGTAAAGGTTTTTGAAAATCACTTAAGGCTGTCCTTTGAGTTGCCACGTCTGTTTCCATACCCTCTCCTTCTTTCTATGTGTGATCTCTGACTGTGTCCGCGCTCAGTACAACATAGCAGTCACTTCTTTGGGGGGGGTCGGTTCTAGACAGGGCTTTTCTGTGTAGCCCTGGCTGTCTCGCACTTGTAGAACTCACAGAGATCCACCTGCCTCTGCCTCTGCCTCCTCTCCATCTTCCCCTCCTACTCCCCGCCTGTTGGGCTTACAGGCCTGAGCCACCACATCCGGCAGGCAGTTACTCTGGTCTCTGGGCCTGTTATTCCAGTGACCTGGGAGAATAGTGCTGCGTCATGTGTGTGCCCCGGCTGAGGGGGTGTTGACAAGCCTGTGGGAAGGGACGAGAGGTGGTGTGGAGGCAGGTGGTGCGGCTCCTCCAAGAGGGGCTTGTGGAAGTGTGCGGTGGCAGCGTGGTCCTGGCAGGCGAACAGAGGAGTGAGGGCACGGTGAGGAGCTTGCGTTTCTCCTTCAGATCGTCTTCCTATATACTGATGAAGTTAAGTTTAAAGTGAATAAGTTTTTCCTTGACATTTAAACAATAAAATTTAGGTTTATACTTAAATATAGGTTCAACTATCTTAGAGAATTTATTTTTAATTTCTTGCCTTATTTCTTAGTTGCCTCAATTTCAATCAAAATTGACTTCCTTTGAGTGAATATATTCAAAGGAACGTCTTTGGTCAGTGTTCTTGTGAAATTTTGTGGTTTGGAAAGTGTTCTGACTTCAGCAGCCTTGTTGACGTCCCATGGTGTGGCCCAATGGAACTCATCAACAACGCTCAGAAGGTCAGACAGGCTTGGGCAGCACAGCTGGGCGAGTGGGGTGTCAGCACTCACCCTGCACTAGTTTAAATCACTTGGTACTATGCTCTATGTTCTCTTGGCCAAGTTCCTCAGGACTCAAAACGACAGTTGCTTATAAGATTACCTGAGCCTGGCGTGGTGGCACACACCTGTGATCCAGCACTCAGGAGGCAGAGCCAGGCGGAACTCTCTGAGCTCGAGGTCAGCCTGGTCTACAAAGCAAGTACAGGACAGCCAAGGGTACACAGAAACCCTGTGTGGAAAAAATAAAAACAAAACAACAAAAACGATTATCTGAACCGGCCATGGTGGCGCGCACCTTTATTCCCAGCACTCTGGAGGTAGGGGCAGATGAATGTCTGAGCTGGAGGCCAGCCTGGTCTACACAGAGTCCAGCACAGCCAGGGCTACACAGAGAAACCCTGTCCCGAAAAATAAAAAAGAAGAAAGGAAAAGATTATTTGATAGAAAGAGCTGCAGCTCCCAGAGCTTGTGTGGGGCAGGACTCTGTATTTTAGTGAGTTGGGGTGAACATAATCTCACCAGTTGCCAGAGATGTAATTTGAAGGTAACAGTTTGAGTGCCACCACTTTTCCAGTCTGAAATGCTGTCCACTACTGACAAGTTAAAGTTCGTTGTCCTGTGCATACTTTGTGCTGCTAATTAAAATCTCTTTTTGCAGGATTCATGAATAAAATTTTCCATCCCAACATTGATGAAGCGTAAGTAACTATTTAAAAATGTTTACATTTTAGCAGCAGCTGTTCTTGATTAACTAGAGGTCATCTCTCTTGTACTGTTATAAAAGAACCCCGTTATGATGTGGGTTTTCTAAGACGGAGGACTGTGAATGCTCATTTCTACTCTAGAGGCTGGGATGTGACCATCTAAGCCTTTGAGGTTTCAGTGCAGTTATTGCTTGTACTGTTAACATTTTTCCATGTTCATGACTGGCCTTTCACTTCCTTTGGTACCCAGCTGGAATATTCCACATCTCAGTTCTTACTGTATAGACCCAAAGGACCTGCTGTCAGCAAGGGATTATAGTTTTCAGCCCCTGACATACTTCTTAGCTCTTGAGGGACAGGTCTGAATGCTAATTGCATGTCGGTTAGTGAGTCGTGGTTACTTGTCTCTTACTGACTGGTTAAAGGGCTCCATCTAGCTGTCTCGTCCTAGCAGCTGCTGCCACTTGGACTATACTTTTTCTTCCTCCAGCTTTAGCCTTGCGGTCTCAGAACTGCACAGGAAATGTTTGTGAGCCTTGTCTGAGCAGGTTCCACATCTGCATTGTGTCCCTTAATCTTTACTAGCTCAGTGTATCCGGCACCCTAACGACAAGGACATTCTTTTAAATAGCCACAGTAAAGGAGATTCCGGAATTTAGTATGATGTAATGCTTTTTATCTCCTATGTAAGCTGCATTGCCAGGCTCCTATGCTGCCTTTAGTTGTCAAGTTTCCTTAAGTAACTTTAATCAAGATCACTTCCTCAACTTACTTTTGTCATCTATAAAGATTTTAAAAATACAGACTAGCTATTTTTTTAATTAACCTTAATTTGAGTTTGTTTTTGTAGGAGACTCAGAACATGCACACATTTGACTACATAGTGAGATTCTGTCCTCAGGGAATCACAAGGTCTGTGTGTCCTTGTTCCCTGGGTTAATTCTCATCACCTGTTCAGCTGTTCTCTTCTTGGAATTATGTTCTTGTCCTTGTTGGTTGTAAATACCTGTGCTTCTCGCCCTCGAACCTCCCAACTCATCTTAAAGGATCTGTTACAAAGTTGTTTTGATAACATTGGCTGCCAGAAACATGCAACTAGATTCCTAATTTTTAAAAAGTGCCATTTCTTTCCATCTGTTTCAGGTCAGGAACTGTGTGTCTAGATGTAATTAATCAAACGTGGACAGCTCTCTATGGTGAGTTTGGCCATGGAATATTTTCTTGGAGATACTGAGGCATTTGCCTCAGAATGTTGTTTGGCTTTTCTGCAGTGGTTAATTTGTTGTGTTGGGAATGGGAAAGACTTTTGAGGGGCTGAGTGGGGGAAAAAAATGGGGTGGTGGGCGGGTGGGGGAGTGTTCCATGATTAAAAGCACCCGCTGCTCAGACAGGAGCACTGGGGTCGGGATCCCAGAGCTCATGAGAATCCAGGTGGGTGTGACCTGTCGCCATCACAGGCAGAGACAAGGAATCCCTGTGACTGCTGACATTAGCCCTGTCAGGGACCTGTGGGTGCATTGAGGCCCTGCCTCAGTGGATAAAGTAGAAAGACACGTATGCACACTGCACAGCAGCTGGGAGGTGGAAAAAGAAACTTTTTCTTTGAAGTATAAGCTTCAGTTTAGTAATACAAGTTTGAATAAGTCAACGAAGGGCCGAAGCCATGGCTCAGCGAGCGGTTAGCGAGATGTTCTTGAAAAGGACCTGAGCTTAGTTTTTCCCACCCATGGCAAGCTACTGCAATTGCCTGGAAGTTCAGCTCTGGGAGATCTACTGCCTCTGCCACAGGTACCCGAGTTCTTGTGAATAGGCTGCCCTACCCCCCCCCCCAACACATAATTGTAAACATGGTTTTAATCTTTAAAATATAAAAGATTCTGTGGGCCAGCTATGGGTCATTGGTAGTTCAGTACTCAGGAAACTGAGGCAGGAGCAAGTTTGAGGGCACCTTTGGCTGCGTAGGAAGACTGGCTGGAAAACAAAAACAAACCCAAAAACAACTAACACAGTTTGAGGGACAGCAATGCATGCGTGAACACAGACACACAGAGGTCTGCTTCTTGTGGATGTGTTCTGATGTGTGCGCCACTTAGTGGTCTCAGGGAGTGCTGTCTTGGGCGTTGGTTCCAGGGATCGCTTAACCTTCCCTCAGCTTGTAGAGTGGAGACCTGTCCACGCAACAAGTCAGCCAAACCAGTCAGCTCTTCAGAACACTGTTGAGTATCATGGAGGATGAGGAGTAGCAAGCTTTGGTCCCTGGGCTTGTCACCTGCTGAGGGAGTTAAACACAATCAAAACACTATTTGAAGTGACTTGGTGATGCTAAAGCAAAGTAAACACGTTTGTGCACAAGTCCAGATCCACAGTCCAGATGATTCTCTCTTCTCTGATGCTCACACCTGTGAGCTTGTCCTGACTGCCTGTGTGTAGGTGACCCTGAACACACCTTTCAGTCTCTCGGACTTCCCCCTTGGCCCTGCGTTGGTCGGTTGTACCTGTTGTTTTTGTTTTGTTTTATTTTGTTTTCTGTGCTGGATTGTTGTCTCCCTTTGGGGGCTGTTACGTGTGTGTCTGACTTGTCTTTGAGCAGCACTTCAGCCCAGCGCCTCTCGCTGTAAAGCGATGCAAGGATTCCCAATAGATGATAGTTGCTGAAGGCACTCGAGGAAGAGGAAAAGATCAATGAGAAGTACTGGGCAGAGGTACAAAATCCGGACGCTTGAGCCCAGCCTAATCAGAGAGACCCAAACTCAAAAATAAATAACGAATGGATAGATAGACAGATAGACGGACGTACTTGTGAGGGGCAAGAAGGGGGTATGTGGAAGGATTTGGAGAGGAGACAGGAAGGGAGAAATTATGTGATTATATTATAATCTCAAAATATTAGAAGAAAGCCAGCGAGTGAGCACAGGCCACTCTTGTCTACCCGCCTTGAAAGCCCCCTTTCCCGGGCGGCCTTGAGGGGGAGGGTCGTGTAGACACCTCACAGAGGGTCACCAGCAGTATGACTCATCCCCTTCTTCCTGAGCAGTGTTGGAGAAGCGTTTCCTCAGTAGAGTTGTGTCTCCTGATGTGTATGAAGCTGGCTCTCTTCTTACCCAAGCGCGGCTTCCCCAGCCAGCCCAGCCAGTGGCAGCTCGTGTGTGTTTCAGAGCACCACTGTTTAACCCCATCTGCTGCGTTTATGGCCCCTGGCAGCTCAGGAACAATTTAGTATTAATCTTTAAATTGTATTTATTTGTTTGTTTAAAGATTTCTCTATTGTGTTTGAGTGTTCTGCCTGCATGTGAGTGTGCCCCGAGCATGCGCGGAGCCCGTGGAGGCCAGAAGAGGGAGTCAGATGCCCTGAGCAGCCGTGTGGGTGCGGAGCCAAGCCCAGGTGCTCTGCAAGAGCCGCCACGGCTCTTAACCAGACTGTCTGTAGCCCCTAACTCAAGAAAAGTTTTGTGACCCTGGATAAGCACATACAACAAGCATGCGAATTAAACACTTACCGGCAACAGACCATGAAGACACTTATCCTAAGACAGCTGTTGGCGGGCATATCATCTTATCATGTATTAAAAATGAAAGCAAACTTGCATACTAACGAGGTCAAGTTTGGGGTTTTTTCTTTTGTTTTTTTGTTTGTTTGTTTCTGTGTAGCCCTGGCTGTCCCGGACTCCCTTTGTAGACCACGCTGGTCTCAGACTCTGAGATCTGCCTGCCTCTGCCTCCCAGAGTGCTGGGATTACAGGCGTGTGCCGAGTTTACTTTTGGAGAATTGAATGTTGGCTGAATATTTGATACTCTCAAGTGTAGATTAGCTTGGGTGTTTTTCAGCGTTCACTGATAATGGTCAGTTCTGAATGGCAGCTGTGTGTGGGAACATTCCAGAAAATGCTGGGACTCCTAACTTGATCCTCATGTGTGGAGGGCTGATGGCAAAGATACTGAAAGTATTTGGTTTTGTGTAAGAGCAGGAAATTTGGACAGTGAAAGCGTCGCAGCTCTGTTTTCAGTTTTCTGAGGTAGGCTTTCTCCTTGTAGCCCTGGCTGTCCTGGACTCACTCCGCCTGCCTCTGCGGGGAGTGCAGGTGTGCTCGGTGGTGCACCACAGCCCCTAGCACACTCACATCTCGGGTCTGAGTGAGGCGTCCCTGGCGTAGCACGTCTGTTCGGGGCTCAGGCTGCAGCACAAGTCCTGCTGTGTGCAGCGCAACTGCGACTGGGACCTTTGGAGTCGCTGTGTGTGTGCTTTTGCGGTAGTTGTGGCTGCTGCATTCTCTGGAATGTTCTGCTCTTTCAGTATTTGCGCTTCTCGTTCTCTGTGCATGTGGGTCAGCGTGCACAGTTGTGAGCTGTGGTGATGGGGGAGGGGCTTGCCCTGTCTTTTCTGCATGTGCTCCTAGAATAGTGCCTGCCCTGCATTCCACATACGTATTAAACTAAAGCAGCGTATCCACCTGCCCGCTGCCGCTTACTACAAGCTTTGGGAGCCAGAGGTGTGTAAGACAAGCTACCAGAGCCCACACATGCCAGGCTTGATTCCATGGCCAGCTGCCTGAGCTACCTGACCTAATGCTGTGTTTCCTTAAGCTGCAGCCACAGTTGAGAAGTGAAGTGTACATGGCAGAATCACACAGCCTGCTCCAATTACACCTAAAGTAAGTTAGGGTAATCTCGCTAACTCTTGTACAACTTGCCAGAAAGCCTTTCTAAAAAAGATTTACTGATTCTCAAGGACCTCATGTCTCCAAAAGCTTTTTTTAATAATTTATTTTATTTACAGTGTTGTTTTGACTGCATGTGTGTCTAGCACAGGAGGTAGACAGTTGGGAACTGGATACTGGGAATTGAACCACGGGTCCTCTGGAAGAGTCTCCAGTGCTCTTAACCGCTGAGCCATCTCTCAAGCCCCCTCCCGAAGTTTTACCAACAGATTTACTGATTGTAATTCATATGGTTCACATACTTAAAGTAATGGTTTTGCTTGTCAGTTATGTGCAAGCTCTCAGCCACCATCCCAACGAGAGCCGCTTGTTAGCTATTACCCATAGATATGTCCCTGACCCTGGAGGATCCCGAGTCTGCGCGTCATGTCTATGGACCATTCCTCGCCAACTGTGGCCCTTTGTGACTGGCGCCCTTGAGTGCCCACACTCCCAGTTTACCTCTGTCGCAGTGTGTATCCTGGCTCAGTACCCTGTTGTTAGCACATTTTATTGACGTGCTCATCAGCCGATGGTCACATGAGTGTTGTTTGGCCGAGTATTTGTGTACAAATTAAACCTTTTTGAGATGTATTTTGTTTTATGTAGCTGTTATGTAGGTGTTCAGCCTACTTGTATGTCTGTGCACCGTGTGCTGAGCCTGCAGAGGTGGAAGAGTCGGTGCTCTTGGCGTGAGTGGCCCCTGTGCGGTGCTGGTTACACAGCCCGGGACCTTGTCCATGCTCTTAACCTCCAGCCCCTATGCATAGATCTCGGCGTGCTTCTCTTCCATGGTGAGGGATTAACAGACTTATTTGCAAAGTTGCTGCACTATTTTTAACCTTTCTCTCAGAAGGTCTAAGATGGTCAGGAAAGATTTGAAAGAAACCAGTTTGACTCGTTTCCTCACACTTAGAAATGTTAGGATATACTCTTGTATTCTCTTGTAAAGCATTTAGTAAGCAATAAATATCCAGCCACTTGGGTTAAAGGGAATAAAAGGATATTTCCACAGTACACTGTTAATAGCTTTTCTGAGCGGCCCATGCCATGCCTGTGGCCGTTCTAACGTTACAGGTGAGCACAGTAGAACACACACTGTGTTTTGTTGTCCATGGTAAAAAGAGCGTGAGAAGATTGTTTTGACGTTTTGCTGTAGACAATAAACTACTTCCCTAGAAAATTCAGCAGATATTAGGTACTGAGAGGGCTGGCTCGGATGCCGTGAGGATGCTCTGGAAGTTAAGGTTTAATCTTGACAACTGAACTTGTATTGAGGACTACTACCGCCTCTGCTGTTGAAGTTTGGGGCATAGTGGGCAGGTTCTGAAGTACTCTGCCCTGCCATGATTCACAAGAGAGCCTTGTTAGTGAGGGTTAGCCAAGCATGGGAGCACATGGCAGCACATGGAGGACCTGAGTTCAGGGCTCACCTGCTCTACAAAGTGAGTACAGGAAGTCAAGGCTGTTACAGAGGGAAACCCTGTCTCGAAAAACCAAAG